GGAACCATAGACTGCTGTACTTATTTAACAAGTATATTATATTCTTATTTGGAGAGCACAACAGTCACCAACAGAATCCGACAGTTGGTGTCTCTAGGTCGATTCAGATAAAGGTCATCACTCTAAGATGTGTAAGTAGCCTAGTTTTCCCAAGCATGCTTACCAACATTTTCCCAACACTTATCAACTATATGATTTGTATATCGCAATGCATACACTTGTGAGTTCCTCAACCCCTCCCACCATCACCTCTACCTTGGCCTTTTCCTAAGTCACGACCACATCCTCGACCTCTGCCTCCATCACCTCTCCCTACAGCTGCATTCAAGGCCGATCCATCATTAATACTTCGAGTCAAAAGGAGTGGGAGAAGTAGAGATATTAACTTGTACAATGCACGCATAGATATTTGTGAGAGATGGGAGTTCGCTGCTTGCCAAGATCTGTCCACGTGCCAAATGGTACTCAGGATTAAGGCCAGACAAAAATTTGGCAACCCTAATTTCTTCACACTGCTGCTTCTACAAATCCACACACTAGATTTAGGCCGATATTCAACTCTTCCCACATACCCCTGAAGGTACTATAATACTCACTCATTGAACACTTTTCCTGGATGCTCATATAACCGAGAGATTTTTATATATGAGCGATTTTTATCTGATGAAATTTTTCTTTCAGAGTGTCCCAAATTTCTTTAGTTGTATCAAGAAATATCAATTAGCACTAATTTGAAATTCCATACTACTCCACAACCAAGTCATGATAATTTGGAATTCCATAATACACAAGCAGGTCATGATTATATAATTCTCCCTCATCCATTCTTAATATCTACTATCAGATTTACTAGGCTTATCCCCAGTCAAGTATTTCAGCTTCCCCCCTACACCAAGAGATACTTATGACAAATTGAGCCCATCCAACATAATTGGACACATTTAATTTCACCAAGGTGATTTGTCCCCCCCCCCCCACAATTTAAGGAAGGCAAAGGATTCTAGGTTTAATTTCTTTATCCATGAGTAGATAAAACAAAGAGGAAAGAGGACAACAAAGAGCGGCAAATTTCAGTCACTCACACAAGACTAGTACAATGTTAACCTGGGCAGATCCTCCTATTCCACGCCTTGCCTATAGGACTTGTGGACTCCACAATAGCATAGGCTAAGGCTCTACTCGAGGGACTTAGAAGATTTCATTCTCTATGGAGCACACAAGTGACGGTAGAAGGGGACTCCAGCAACATCATTGCTTGGGCATCTGGCATTGCCCCCTGTCTGTGGAGATTAGATAACATCTTTGCCGAAATTGGCCACCTCAGTAGCAGTATTCAAGTCTCTTGGAGACACACCCATCGAAAAGCTAACAATGAGGCAGATGCTTTAGCAAGGGAGGGAGCTAGTCTCAACTCTTCCCAAGGGAATCCTGACCCCACCTAGCACTCCCCCTTTCTTTTCTTTTTTTTTCTTTTTGTTTTTTTTTTAATCTGTTGTAGGGCACCCTGTTAAGGCGATAGCCTAAATTTCGTAGTACTCTCACTTGTATCTTTATACTTTATTAACATAAAAGTCAACTTTCTAAAAAAAAATGTTAGAACCACAAAAGAGAGATATTTATCATTTAGATTTGATCACGTTCTCACACTTGAAGAATTATAGCAACACCATATTAAACACATCTGAGCATCACCACGCTGCCATTATTGAAACTAGATCACGACCTCTTTGTAAATCTAGAAAGTGAAAGACACACACAACCTAAGCACACTAACAACAAATCCACATGGCCTTCTGTGCACAAAGCTCTAGGAAACAGAGATAGGGTTTAGATCGAGCAGTCCTAGGTTTTTATGGTTAAAAAATAAAGATAGGGGAAAGAGATGGTGATTCCTTTTGTTTTTTTTTGAAGGAAATAGTTCAAAAAAGGGGAAGGTGAAAGGAGAGGGGAAGATGAAAAGAAAGGTTCAAAAAAAGCGAACGGACCTAAAGGAAAAGGATTCAACAATAGGAGAAAATGAAAGGAAAGGGGAAGAAAGAGGAAAGGGGAAGAAAGGAGAAGATGAAAGGAGCAGGGAAGATGAAAAGAATTTGTTAAAAAAGGAGAAGATGAAAGGAAAGGGTTCAACAAAAGGGCAAAGTTTAAAGGAAAGTGTCCAATAAAAGAGGAAGATGAAAAGAATAGGCAAGATGAAAGGAAAGGGGAAGACAAAAACATCTCAGATCTGCAGTGATACCATGTCAAAAAATCTACAATGATTGCGTGTCAGAAAATCTAGATTAGAGAAAAGAGAAAGACACAAGCAGAGAGAGATATGAGGGCCGGTAGGTTCATGACGGACCCCTCACGCACCTCTTAAACTAGATATATCATTAAAATATATATATATATAAGGGCAAAACTACCCATAAAAAATATTAAAAGGACACCTAGATTCTTCAACTTAAATAAAAAAATTTTAACACACCCTAAGCATATTTTTTTATAAATCTATTCCATTAAATTACTGTTATGAAAAATCTCCTTAACATGTGAATATTACGTTCACACCCATTTATCATTTTTTTTTTGCCCTCACTTTGGAACTTTAAAATCCGAAATAATTAAATTATTTAAAAAAAAAAATTTGTTTCCCTAGAGAGCAAGGATTTTCTAAAAGAACTTTAGATTTTAAGAATCTAGTTTAAGAAACTTGAAATTCTCAAATTCCAAAGTTCTCTAAGGAAAGCCTTGGCCTCCAAAAAGCCTTATAACCACTATCCAAATACTTTATTTCAAGTGTAAAACTTTAGACTTTCAATATCATTAGGAACAAGCTTTTTATGCTTCCCCTACAACATAAAACTTATATATCTCCCCTTATCCAACCGTCCATTCTGAATGGAAAGCTAAGATTGCCCCAATCACAATGTCAAGTATCTACACTATTTTATTTTTAATATTTTTTCTACAAACTATTTTAACACCAAATTTTGTACGTCCTATCCTCTACTAAACTCGCACTAGCGAAAAATATAAAACAAATATTTCCAATAAAATAAAATGACCAAAATACCCCTGAAATTTTTAAGGGGTATTTTGGTCACTAAATTTTATCAAAAATTTGTTTTTAATATTTTTTATAGGTGCGCCCCAATGAAAATATGGCACGTACCAAAATTCATGTTCATACAATTTGTATAAAAAAAATTAAAAATAAAATACTTTGAGACATCAGATCTAAGATCAAACAATGAGTGGCTCTCTTGATCAAATTTGGACGGCTGAATGGTAGGGGATACGGGAAGTATAAAAACCTATCCCATATCATTATTTTGAAAAAATTGCAGGAAAAAAGGGTATGAATGTAATAATGTGAAAATATTGGGATTTCCAAAATAACGAAAATTTAGGAGGACATGTGCATAAATTTCCCAACTAATGAAAAATAAACTCATTTATGCTTTATAAAAATATTTTGTGCATACATGAATGAAGAGGTCCAATGCAACATATAATATAGACACTACATCATAACTCCTTGTTCATAGCGATAAAGTGAACCCAATCTGTCTACAGAAGGAAAGGGTTTTCGCAATCAACTTTTCACGTATGAGACTACACCTGCAGTATGAACTTCAAAACATAACACTAACAAGAAAGTCATAAAATTAAATATATTCTGCGTTTGAAAATCCCAACATTATCCCTTGGAGTACATGTCTTCTACTCTACAAATAGTCCATCTATTGAGGCACTGATAAGAAATGAATATTGCAGCTTGAATGAATGGCATCAATATGATGAAAAATCATATATATCTGGGATGCATTAATGCAATATAATCTAGCACGTGCTCACACCCACATATTATATGTCTATGACTCCATGTGCTGTTTAATTTTTGAGTAATAAGATTTCAAGCCAAGGTTACTGCTTATCTATCATGAATTCAATGAAATATTGAAAATACTAAAAAAATGATTTCTCAAAAAAAATATAAAGCACAGGGTGGGGCAAAAAAGAGAAATGTTATTAAACATGGTAAAATACATTACCTAATAATTCGAGTGGCCAAGTTATACTATATTCAGCTATGTCTTCAACAAATAGTTAGTTGACCCATCAAGAAAAAAGCAAATGTTTTGAGCTAATCTCAAGGAAGTTACAATCTAGATGCTATTTGAACCATTGTAAATTGGATGTGTTATCAATAGGCAGCAAATACAAAAATAAGTCATACTTTTATAACAGGTATAGAGGCAATAATATTTATCGTCTTCTGAAGAAAATTCTAATAAAAAAAATATGAAGAAAATTCTAATAAAAAAAGTAGTCCGTACTTTCTTTGTTGGTTCATCTTCCATAATGTGCAAGGTAGTCATTTATGAAACAGAAAAGGTTATATAGAGCCCAGGATCTAAACAATCAAATTTGAGACTACCTCAAAAATTTCACTAGAAGAAGTTGTTTTGATGCCCAAAGATCCTCAAATTGATCATCTCGACATCAAGATGCATGGACATGAGAAAAAATGGATTTCAAGTTTTGAAAATAGTGTATTTTATAACGCATTTTTGAACCGTCAATTTTTGAGATTTTCAAGTTTTCATAGATATGTCGATCGACACTATTTTTGAAGCTTTGAACTTTATAAAGAAAGATGAAAATGTATTTTAAGGCTATCACTAAGATTTCCAGTATCGAAACCACATTACTTGATACTATTTGAAGCTAGGCTCTAATTTGATTGCTTAAAGCCTAAGCTCTATACAAACCGCACCCTTTATGAAATATGGACGTGCATGTGCACCCCACACGAAACAAACAAGCCTTAATCATTGCCATTGCAATAAGGTTTCAACCTTTCATTGTTATCTAAGAAAAGTAGTAAATGGATGAAAGAACATTATAATTCTTATGAGCTATAGGAAATAGTTGCAACAGAGCCATGATTCATGGTCAATAAAAGGGACAGTCAATAAACTACCCATAAGAAATCAGTTAATAAAAGTTTAGACCTCGATTTCTTCATCCTCCATTTCTCGATATCCAAGGCATCCATTCCCACATAAAGGAATATAAATGTTTCTGAGATGAAGGACATTGTTGCGAAAACATGCCTACAAAATAATTGAGAATTTCTTAGTAGTCCATCTTTTTGTTGTTGACTCGTACATTCATTTCAGTAGAAAAGACCAGCTAAGATATCAATCAAGAGATTTTGAAGAAATTATTGAAGAAAGTAAAATCCCATTCTCAGAACTAGCTACGAAATATCATGAGATAAAATGATGCACAAAGAATGGGTTGGTGCCATTTTTCTCAGGTTGTTAAAGAATGAAAGGAGAAACTCAATCACCCAACTCAAAAATGAACTGTCATGTCATGCTTTCGTCCCAAACCGCCAAATATGGTTGCACAAAGCATGACTCTTGATAAGTGCAATTCTCAACTTCAAAGGCAAATAAAATACAGGTATGCTCCTGAACTTCAAAGGAATTGAATAAAAGTTGCTTGCATATTCATGCACACATCGAGAACTTCAGCAGATCTAGAACTTGCACATAAATGACCACCGCAGAAGTTAACACATCAAAGCAATTTGCATCAGAGTCTATCACAAGAATAATGAAAGCAAAACCACCAAAAAATACCATTTGGAAAAAAAAATTTAGTAATGATTGGTTTAAAGATGCTGCAAAACCAAAACCATCACAATGATCGTGAGAAGGTTCTTATATGGAATTTTGGGCTCATCACTAGATGGCACGGTACCTCTTGTAGTGCTGCAGATGGTAAACAGATCCAGGGTATCAGACATACTAATCAATGAATATTGGATTCATGCACATCAATGTTGTAACAGTAACATTTATTGAGGAGAAGGAAACATGAAGGCACACAAATATGAAATTAGAAAAAACATAAGTGATCCATGCTCAAGTCACTCCAGATAGAAAGTGGCCTTATTTGGCACAGCCATACATAAAACTAACTCATTAAAGTAACATAGAGAGCTCAAAAGATGTTCAATAGAACCCATAAAATAAAAATATGGATGAAAATACATTCAAGGGGATATATTTGAAAAATGAAAATAATGATAAACAACTTAATTTTATCAGATCCCAACACAGAAGTGGAATTGCAGCTTAAAGGAAATTCTAGGCTTCTCCCTCGCACAATTCCCGAAACAAGCACAAAGAAGATCGTTCTGCATTAACTCCATATAGTAGTGGGAAAAGTATATGTGCATTGACAAACAGATTTGCAAGAGACAGCACATGAATATAACATGCACCTGTTATATGTAGATGAAGGCAGAAGAAAACCATGCTTTCCAAAAAAATTCAACCAATAATCAAGTACAGTTATCATTGCTTGTAAGCAACAGTTTTACTTGCCTTGTAGTGATCCTTGAGTTCTCCGTTACATTATGCCATGCATAATGTGACATAACAATCCCACAAAAGAAGACAGTGAGAATCCCACTTAGGTGTAATAACTGCACGAGCAAAATTTGCATCGAGGTATGTATGTAAATGTGCTTATATTCATCTATAGACATTAAAACATAAAGCAGAACACAGAATATACAGATGCAATCCACAGGGGGAGGGACATCAACCATATATTCTTAAAACAGGCAGTGAAGATGAACCCAAGAGATGGTGGATGCCCCAACACCGCATCCTGCGCATCATGTGAACACATATGTTTGTGTTGTACTTTAACTAACATAAAGACATATAAGCATATTCAAGTTTGTCTCATTGTGCATGTGTGGATCGTAACAGGATAAGGCCATGTTACCTCAGCCAGCATGTAGGATAAATAAGCCATTAGAATCATGAGGGCGATTTCACGGTCAGTTGAATGCCTGTTAGTGAATCAGAATATTAATGCAATAAATTTCATCACAATAACGAGCAAAAATAAAACCAGTAAACCACTGAGAGCATAGCAGATAGCGAAGTCACTCACCTACCAAAGTACAAGGCCTTGATAACATATGCAGTCAAAAGCCCACTCTAAAACATTTACAAGCCGAATTAGGAGACAATGAACGTCTATAATCAAAGATAGTCAAAATAGAACAACACAATAGTCAAGGGAAATCAATAAATTATTGCTTTACATAGAAAATTTTAAGCCCTGGAATTTCCTTTATCTAGAAAAAGGTCGATGAATCTTGACTTACCACAATCCCAAGAGACGTGCTTGTAGCAAAAAGGTAGAGAAAATCTTTGAAAGTATATAATGCCACACGAAGATCAAGCCTTGAAACATCAAGTTTTTGGACTGTTCTAAAAAGAACTACAGATGTAGCATCGTTTACAACTCCTTCACCAAATACAAGACTGTATAAAAGAGGTGTCTCATCTTGATTCAGTACCTGCATTTTGATTAAAAATTAGTCATGACAGGGTAAAGTTGGCCACGTAAAATATGAGAAGTTCTACATGTTTTCTCTTCCGGAATTCACAATATTCAAGTCACCTGTAGGGTACAGACAGTATCAGTTGATGAAAATATTGTTCCAAGTGCTGAAATATGCAAAAACTTCATTAATATCCGGGATTAATATTTGAACAATATTATGCAAAGGGGCACATATTTTTAGGTACCATTAAACATACTCAGGTAACAGAGGGAACAAGATTCACACCAAAATAATCCCGCACCCTAAGGCCAACAAATCCGATCTTTGGAAATAGCCACCAACAACCTATAAAACCACAAGACAATAAGCTTTCACTTATACATTTCATGAAAAATATCCAATTTGACTGGATCGAACTGACACTATAAATGAAGCAGAATCATGGACCCATGCAGTTTTAGTTCAATTAATGGACACAATTTTGATCCATCATGCAAAGAGATCAAATTTCATAGAGATTACAATATTTAAAGACCATTCAAGGACAACAACCACATTTAGCTAGCTCAAGTTGTACAGTAAGAATGATGAAGATTATTGTACATACATATTTCTCATGCATACAAAACTTTGAAAGTTTAAAGTGATTGACACTTCAAAAAAGTCCCAACCAACCACTAACTCAACTAAAATTGGTTGTGGATCAAGCCTTCTTCACGGCCAATACATCATTGTATGCGACCAGCAGAATTCTCACGCCCAACCCACTAGTAAGGATACACTGACAAACATTCCTAATCACCAACATATATTTAGATAATAGAATATGAGAGATGGTAATGCATATGGAATCTCTACATTCATGAGGGTATTTCATGCTCTTCATAGTTCTCTTGTTAAAAGTTAAGGACATTGAAAAGGCAAGTAACAGATCGGAATGGCTTGTATAGTACCAGCAGAAATGATGGCAAATGAGATGAAAACACCAACTGCACCAAGGAGCATTATAGTAAAAAAGTTCCTAAAGAATTGCTTCTTCTTGACCTGGAATCTGAAAGGGTTATGAAAAAATTGAGCTTCGAATGCTTGACTTTCGAAATAAGTGTCTCAGGCTTCTATCTGCGTAAGAACTATAAAAAGGGCAAGGTTCACATACATGCTTACCCAGCATTGAAGATAATGGGGGGAAGAAGGTAGATGAAAAACAATTCCTCATCAAATCTCAAGATGTGAGAACTTTTTCCCTTGCTCCATAGCAATATAATAAAGCCAGTGAAGCATCCCTGCATGAGAACAATATGAATGCCTCCATGAATTTATGGAAGCAATGGAACATGAATCTGATTAAAGTAATCCAACCTGTAATCATTTTGTACAATATATCACATAGGGAAATCATCAATCTCAGTTACTCTGAATTTTTGTCAGTTTGGAATGTAATTTGTTTTTGGTGAGAACTGACATTGGAATCAACATCCAAACATCCAACTAACAAGACCCCACATTTCCAGCTAAAGTAGCCATATCTCAATATCATTAATCCATTAAAGATCAAAATTTTCAATCCAAATTTTGCCAAAACTTGAGCAGAGATTCATATGAAACTCAAAATTCATGATGTGGAGTTTGTTATTCAACTGAACTTTTTCCATAGACCAAGATCAAGAATTTGGAACAGTTTGCCAGTCCATTTATCAAATTGGCCTCTTTTAAATCTTTAACCTAGTTCCCACCTTCTACAAGAAAAGAAAATTCAGCAGAATTCAGGTCCAAATTGCAAAATTCTGGTTTTGACCAACAACCAAACTAACAGTAGAGTCCAAATTTTAAACCAAGGTTTAAAAAACTTGGCTCGGACCCGAGCAAAGTTATCCGGGCGACTTACAGGCCCAAAAAGGACTTAAAAATCAAAATCAAAATAAAAAAAATTGCTAAAGACAAAGAAAAAAAAGGGGTAAAACAAGGGTAAAAAAAACAAAATTTAAACTATAAACGACATTATAATTCCAAATAAGATGGAAAAATATATAAAAGAGAGGATTTAGAAAAAAAAAAAAATTTGTTATATAGCTAGAAACATTTCAGAAAAATCCTTAAAAAGAAAAATATAAAAATAGAGCATATGACAAAAACTCACAAATCATCACCAAAAGCATCAAAATTACACATAAATATTTGTACAATATTATACAAAAAAAAAAAGTATTTTTATATTTTTTGGGACCTTTTTATCTTGCCAGAACACTACGCTCGGCAAGGGGCTGAGTCTGAGTAACTCGGCAGAATTTTCAGACGCTGTTTTAAACCATGCAATTAACTTTTTTTTTTCACATCTTGTTTGCTGATACATCAAACACCTATCATGAACCTCATCAAAGATAGGGCTCAATCTCGGTACAAAATAACATCAATCATAATCTCTTCAAATTTATAAACTCCTCCAAACTACCCTACACTGTAATCAATGGAAAAAAAAAATCCCTACTCTGCAGTACAATAGAATAAAACTTACATTCCCTCTTGCATAACCATTGCTGTTGAACAAATAGAGGTGTCTCAAACATTTTATCTAAAAACTCGGGCTGTATAATAATTTCTCCCCATTTACAGACCCAACATTTGCAATTTGAGAGTCAGGGCCATCCATACCAAACATACCAACAAGCCAAACTCTCTCTCCATCTCTCTCTCTAAAATACTGCAAGCAGGGAATTTGTTTTAAGCTCATCATCTTGGTATCGAAAACAAAGACCAGAGAGAGAGAGCATACGATTAGTAGAGCAGTGATGGACTCATTAACCCAACGGTTCTCCTCGAGCAAGTGCCCCACAACAATGCATAAGCACAACAGAGCCACAAAAATAGAGATGGAAACCACATGATTGTGATCAGTCCCATTCTCCAACGCAACATTTTGTAAGCTCATTGTCTCTGATGCTCACCACCGCATACACGCACATTCCCCCTCTTATTATACTCCTTGATTTGCAGGTTTAATGGTTCAAACTTCCAAGGAAGAATGTTTTATTTGAAAAGAGAAACAGAGAGAGATGGAAGGCCTAGAGAGAGCATGGAGAGGGAAATTGGGTGCTGAAAGACACGAGAGAGAGAGAGGAGAGAGAAGGTGGAAAGAGTTTAGAGAGAGAGGGGGAGGGGAAGAGAGAGAAAGTAGGGAATAGACTGTAGAGAGAGAAAGAGAGGAGAGAGCAGGAAAGAGCTTCAGAGGGAGCAAGAAGAGGATGCCGGGGACAGGTGTTGGTCTCACTGTTGATGTCAGACGTGGCAAAAAAACGATCCGAGAAAGAAGCGGCAAATTTGTATTTATTAACACGTGGAAGATTTATTTGTCCGAATACTAGAAATCGTTTAATTGTTGCATTTAATAAAGAAGTTCGTTGGTTCGTAGGTTGAGTCCAAAAAGGCAAAAAGGCTTTTCAGAAGCACACAAATCAAAAACATAATGGTGCGCTAACTTTATAAATTTCACCGAATTTTTAGTGGTTTCACCCAAAACAAAGCAAAGTCTAAAGTTATCGTGGGAACCACCGATAATAATAATAAAAAAGAAAACTTCAAATAGACTGTATAGCCACTTTACTCCCACCCTAATTTTTTTAAACATATGTTTTTCAAAAATCAAGTTTTATAGTAAATACCTTTAATATAAAAAATTTATTTATTTTTAACAAAAATATCTTTCTTATACATAACAAATCATTTTCGGATCCCAATAAAAAGAAACGCATGACTGTCGGACCGCAACTGTACAGTGCCGTGCCGCCTATTCCAAAGACAATTTTCAATTTTATTGGACCGTAGCTCATAAATGCCGAACCGTTTATTAGTGGTCACATTAATCTTGGCCATTGAATGTGAAACTGGGTGGCTGCAATTATTCCATTGACCAATCTCAATCTTCAAAAAAAAAAAATTTAAAACTTTATGGCACATCCAACTTATCAAATTTCACATCAAATGGTTGTAAGGAATTGTGACCACCTTGTATCAAATTTTTTTTTACAAAAGTTTTTTTGGTTCCAAGCGAGATTTAAAAATACGGCTCGATGATCTGGATCACCACTCCAAAAAATCTTTCCAGATCAGTGGTTCGGACCGACAATCTGGACCAGTCAACTAGTGAATAAAAAGTTTACAAAATTAGGAAATTAAAAATTGAAAAATATTTAAAAAATAAAATAGGAGAACTAGCCAGTTCCCGATAGATTCAGATTGCTCTAATCAACTCTTGATCCAGATCGACTGGTCCTTATCCACATCACCATTTTTAAAACCTTGGTTTCAAGTGACACCGAAGCACTGCAACCATGGCACTAAACCGCTTGCAAGCAAATTTGCTTTGTGATGCATGTCTCATTGGGTGTAAATTAGATATTAATTCGGTAAAAGGCGTGGCCTATATAAAGCGTCAAATTTAAATTAGTGTTTGAAAAATCGGCTGAGCCTTGACTCAACCAAGTTGCCCAAGCTGGGATAGTGGCTGAGCTTGAGTTGTCTCGAGTAGGTGGTTCAACTCATAAATCTTAAAAGAAATTCAAAAACTTTATAAAAGATTAAAAAAAAAATCTATTTGTAACATGTTTATTTGTATTCTATCATTTTGGCAAATATTGGAAAGTATTTTAGCCATGAATACTTATTTTTACAGCTTCCCATCTTTTTTGGATTATTTCCAAAATACCCTGTCCCAAACGGAATTTTCAAAATTTATTTATTTTACCTCTTTTTTAACCTCATTTAGATGTATTTTGTTTAATCTTACTTTAAACATATATTTTTATATTTTTTTTTTACTTTTTTAACAGTTTTTCACTGCTACAGTACTCAACTCAACTCGGGCCGCGTACTCAGCTCGAGTTGTTCATTCACTACTTTAAATAATCATAATTATTTGGAAAACAAACATACCAAAAGTACTGAATACTGAGTAAGTCATGTGGAAAATCTTTCATGTGGCGATAATGTAGGAGATTTGGAGAGAGAGGAATTAGAAAGACTTCAGAGCGGTCTCTAATGGATGTGGATAGATTTGAGGTTAAAATTCAACATACTTTGTAGAGTTGGTTTTCGGTAACTAAAGAAGGGTGGGGTAATATGGAGACTGATGTTGCTCTGAACTTGGGTAATCTGGGTAAATAGGAGATGGGGAAGATTATACCAATTTGCAGGTGGCATCTGCCATTAGAGGTATCTTATCAAATGAACTTTGATAGTCGTTTAATTGAGAATCCAGCCCTGTAGGTTTTGGTGGAGTTTTTAGATATTGAAATGGGTTTATAGGTTTTTGTAATGTGAGACCATGTGCAAATACAATTATGATCATGTGGACCTTAGTGCTTTATTGCAAGGGTCTTAAGATATTTCAAGGGAAGAAGATTGGAGGTCATTTGTATGTTGAAGGGGATTTACTTAATATAACGAAGTGGTGCAAGAAAGATAAGATAATACCATGGAGCATGTGGTCATTGCGATTATCTATTATGGAAATAAGTACCTCTTTTACATTTTCTTTTAACCATGTTCATAGGGAAGCAAATGATACGGCAGATGGTCTTGTTAGACGGGGTGCATTGTTATTGGAGTTTTGGGTTTCAGAAACGTTAAACTTACTTTTGTAAATGTACTTTGTACTCCCAGCGATTAATAAAAGTTCTTAACATAGTCCAAAATAAATAAATAATTAAAGTAATGTGTATTTTTAAATCTTATTAATAGTTGTAGTTTTGGCATTGGCAAACCTTATAATGGACTGAAAATCTATTTGCACCATTGATTATGTAATTTAAAGTTCTAAAAATAGTATAGATTGAACAAATATATAAAGATTTTTTTTTAAAAAAAAATAGACGGTCTAGATAATTCGTTCACTATGTATTATTTTAGGATCGACATTTTTTTATATCCATACATCTCAAGATCCAAACGATCAATTACAGGGTTTTTCGACATTGGAACAACCATTTTCTAGTGGAAATCTTGAGGCACAACTTACTTCTACAGTTCAAGGTGGACACCTTATATAAGCTTTTTCTTCTGCTAGAAATTGATGTAATTTTCGTCAATCAAGCTAATTCAACTTCTGCAAATTGATGTCGAGTCCCTCCTCTAAAATTCATGTTAAACATAGATTTTGGATTCAAATTTTTAGAGTTCCATAATATCAAACATGAGGATCACGAATATGAAAACAGTAAATTTTAAAAGTTGGAAAGTGATACTTTTTTAAAAAAATTACGTCTTCTATTTGGATTTAAGTTGGGTCGTTCTTTACGGTGTCCCGTCAAGATGGGTGTTTGATGGTCAAGGGGGTGCATGCGTCTCTGACTCATCAAATATTTTTTCTTTGTAAATTAAATATTAATTTGAAAGAAATTATTTAAACTCAGTGGAACAAAGGGTTGAGCCAAAGTATACAAATATATCTCTATATTTGCACACCACCTAGAGTGATGTAAAAAGCATCACAAACCACACCTAAATTAAAAAGATCATAGGACAAATATTGTGGCCTGAAAGGAATCAGTTAAGGGTTTTAGAAATGGGCAAGCTTTCTATGCTTCCCCTACAATATAAAATTTATATACTCCCCCTTATCCAACCGTCCATTATGAATGGAGGGCTAAGGTTGTCCCAATCACAATGTCACGTCTCTCACTATTTTATTTTTAATTTTTTTCTATAAATGATTTTGACATCAAAATTTGGTCGTCCAGTCCTCTATTAAACTCTCACTAGTGAAACAATATATAAAAAATATTTCCAATAAAATAAAATGACCAAAATACCCCTAAAAATTTCAAAGGGTATTTTGGTCATTATATTTTATAGAAAAATTATTTTTAATATTTTTTATAAGTGCATCCCAATGAGAAGATGGCACGTACCAAATTTTATATTCATAAAATTTGTATTAAAAAAACTAAAATAAAATACTTTGAGATGTTGGATCTAAGATCAAACAGTGAGTGACTCTCTTGATCAAAATTGAACGGTTAGATGGAAGGGGAAGCATATATCTTCTATGCTGTAGGCGAAGTATAGAAACCTTTCCCTTTAGAAATTGTAATAAACTATGAGAGTTAAAATCACAATAGGTTACAAGGCAAGAAAAAGAAAATGAACTTTTTTGAGATCATTGATGTAAAGCCTTAGAGAGCAATAAGTAGAATTAGACGAAATGGATATATGAGATTGGAAGTAGATATCTAAGGTGCTTATATGAAGGCGGATAAAATCAAACTAGAAGGTATCAGACTAGGATTCAGTAAATCTGGGTAAAAAAAAAGAAAGGCACATGATGATAGATGGGAGATATGAAAGTTGGACTATGTGATCAAGCACGGTGATCACATATATATGGCTTATATTGATCAATCGTGTTAAATTTAGGGCTTTGAGGCTTAATTAGGCTGAAAAGTGAAAATCAAGAAGAGTATGGTATAAATATTCATGGGAAAGGATTATGGTATAAATATCAATGGGAAATGATTAGAGGAAAAATTTAGGACTCATAGAGCTAAGGTTTAGGATTCAATTAAGAAAACTAGGGGTAATTAGGTAAACTATACCTAGATTGGGGTTCATTTGTATCTCATTGGAATTTTCTAGGTTTTCTAATGATAGTTTGGAAAATAGAAAAGCTTGGGAGCAGAGAGTATAAATGATAGATTCTTGTCAGAGCTTTGGGACTCAAGAACAAGGTTGTGGCCTCTTGAATTGGACATTGAGAGATTTTTTTATAGGTTAAGGTGAGGGGATGGGATTTCGGATGAATGAACGAGATTTCATCATCAAATCACTTCAAATTGTGAAACAAACAACTTCAATTGTGCATGCTTCTACGTGTTTCTCTAGGTGGAGAAATATGATTTTCACGCAAAAGCCAAGGTCCAATACATAATGCGTTAAGCCTGGTACATATTGTATTGGATCCAATACATGTGTCATATCTAGCAATAATGTAGAATTTTAAATTTGTTTAGTAAATCAATTACTAATTTCAAATGGTATATCATGTTGAAGTGAGATTTGACCCGCCAAAAAGTTTATTTCATTCCCTACAAAATGGCATATGTTTCAAATGGGCCAAGATTTTAATAAGCCAGAGTTAAGGGGTCGACACATGTCACAAGAATAAAGTGGGACTCTAAGTTTATAGATAATAATATCGTAAAGAGTCTCAAAAATTAGGGTATGTACTTAAGGGTAGGTTATAGAGAGACACGAGAAATCATAAATTCTAAAGAGAGGCTC